CATTCCTCAACTTCCATCCTCCGCCATCATCTTGCTGCATCTCATCTGTTCTCCCTCATTGCACAGCCTTGGGCAACTCATCCATTCCCGTGGCTTCATTGGCCACTTGCACACACATCAGTGATCCCAGGTCTCTGCCTCCAGCCCTCCCGTGAACTTGAGACCCATCTATCACACTGCATGCTGATGTCTTATCTCCATTTAGACACTCCCCCAGATAGCTAAAAATCTAGAGCCCGTGCAGACCCCTCCTCCCCTTCAACTGCCCCTCGTCCTGGGCTTATCATTTGAGTGCACGCGTCAAGGGGACCTGGTGAGTCTTCTGCTGACGAGCCCCCCAGTGATTCCTTGAGCTGCAGCCCCATTGCTCTCCCGCACATTCCGGTTGCCCTGCTGACTTGCCTGCACTTGCACACTTGTTCACTCCCCCCACCACAGACGGAGAAGTCTGATGGAGTCATTCCGCATTCCTGCCTTCAGCGCCACCTCACTCCTCTGCCAGGTTGCACAGCTCCTATGTCCCTTGGCTCCCGGTTGCCTCTGTAGCCCCTCTCTCCTCAGCACCCCCAGGCCTTTGTGTGTGTATCCTCTCTCTGGAGACACTTCAGCGCCCTTCTCCTTGCCTCGATAATTCCTTCTCACCCATCGGGTCTCTGCTCAAGCTCACTTCCTTCAGGGAACCCTCTCTGACCTAGTGAAAGCTGGGATTCCTGGTGGTCAAGTGCCCCTGGTCCCAGTGTAGACCCAGCAGTAACATGCCCACGTGGCAACGTGGTGGCCTGTCTTTACTCATCTCCCCACCTAGACTGGGAGCCAGAACATCTTCTCTTTTGCTGCAATGTTAAGGACACTAGTCATGAACAGAGTGGATGCACCCAGGGCTATTTCCCTGCTGGCTTTCAGTGGTGCCGGGGGCCAGGGAAGAATGCTTGGCTGTGTGGCTTGTGGAGGCTCTTCAAGAGCGTGACCCTGGGCCTGTTCAGTGGGAAGTTAAAAGCTTGAAATAAGTAGGTCTACTGGGAACCTATGCTGAAAATATAATTCCAAAGAAAATGATTTCTCTTTTTTTAGGAAATTTTAGGTATTTTTAGGAAAGTAAACTGTAGAGTTGTTGGTCAGTTGCTAAGTTGTGTCTGACTCTTTGTGACCATGTGACCATGGACTACAACATGCCAGGCTTCCCTGTCCTTCACTGTCTCCTAGAGCTTGCTCAAACTCATGTCCATTGAGTCAGTGATGCCATCCAACCATCTCATCCTCTGCTGCCCTCTTATCCTGCCTTCAGTCTTTTCCAGTACCAGGGTCTTTTCCAGTGAGTTGGCTCTTCACATCAGGTGGCCAAAGTATTGGAGCTTCAGCATCCGCCCTTCCAGTGAATATTCAGGGTTGAGTTCCTTTAGGATTGACTGGTTTGATCTCCTTGCAGTCCAAGTGAAGTTCCTGATTCACTTTCTGCCATTAAGGTGGTGTCATCTGCATATCTGAGGTTATTGATATTTCTCCCAGCAATCTTGATTCCCGCTTATGATTCATCCAGCCTGGTATTTTACATCATGAACTCTGCATATAAGTTAAATAAGCAAAATGACAATATACAGCCTTGACATAATCCTTTCCCAATTTTGAAACAGTCCTTTGTTCCATGTCTGGTTCTAACTGTTGCTTCTTGACCTGCATACAGGTTTCTCAGGAGGCAGGTAAGGTGGTCTGGTATTCTCATCTCTTTCAGAATTGTCCACAGTTTGTTGTGATTCATACAGTCAAAGGCTTTCGCTTAGTGAAGCAGATGTTTTTCTGGAATTTTCTTGATTTTTCTATGATCCAACAGACATTGGCAGTTTGATCTCTAATTCCTCTGCCTTTTCAAAATCCAGCTTGTACATCTGGAAGTTCTCAGTTCCTGTACTGTTGAAGCCTCAGTTCAGTTCAGTCCGACTCTTTGTGAACTCATGGACTACAGCACCCCAGGCTTCCCTGTCCATCACCAACTCCTAGAGCTTACTCAAACTCATGTCCATTGAGTCAGTGATGCCATCCAACCATCTCATCCTCTGTCATCCCCTTCTCCTTTCCTTCAGTCTTTCCCAGCATCAGGGTCTTTTACAGTGAGTCAATTCTTTGTGTCAGGTGGCCAAAGTATTGGAGTTTTAGCTTCAGCATCAGTCCTTCCAATGAATATTCAGGACTGATTTCCCTTAAGATGGACTGGTTGGATCTCCTTTCAGTTCAAGGGACTCTCAAGAGTCTTCTCCAACACCATAGTTCAAAAGCATCAATTCTTTGGTGCTCAGCTCTCACATCCATACATGACTACTGGAAAAACCATAGCTCTGACTAGATGGACCTTTGTTGGCAAAGTAATATATTTGCTTTTTAATATGCTGTCTAGTTTGGTCATAGCTTTACAGTATGAAAAGACAAAAAGATAGGACATGTTGAAGACTAGCTTGAAGGATTTTGAACATTATCTTGCTAGCATGTGAAAGGAGTGCAATTGTGCAGTAGTTTGAGCATTCTTTGGCATTGCCTTTCTTTGAGCTTGGAATGAAAACTGACCTTTTCCAATCCTGTGGCCACTGCTGAGTTTTCCAAGTTTGCTGACACATTGAGTGCAGCACTTTCACAGCATCAGCTTTTAGGATTTGAAATAGCTCAGCTGAAGTTCCATCACCTCCACTAGCTTTGTTTGTAGTAATACTTTCTAAGGCCCACTTGACTTCATGCTCCAGAACGTCTGACTCTAGGTGAGTGCCCACACCATCATGCTTATCCGAGTCATTAAGATCTTTTTTGTACAGTTCTTCTGTTTATTCTTGCCACCTCTTCATCTCTTCTGCTTCTGTTAGGTCCATACCATTTCTTTCCTTTATTGTGCCCATCTTTACATGAAATGTTCCCTTGGTATCTCTGATTTTCCTGAAGAGATCTTTAGTCTTTCCCATTCATTGTTTTCCTCTGTTTCTTCGCATTTTTCACTTAGTAAGGCTTTGTTATCTCTCCTTGCATCCTTCATTTAAGAAAGCTGTCTTACCTCTCCTTGCTATTCTTTGGAAGTCTGCATTCAGATGGGTATATCTTTCCCTTTCTCCTTTGAGTGATTCACTATAGAAACACAAAAGGTTGTTGCTATGTAAGTGTGTTAATCATGTTAAAATGACTTCCTGTTTTAACTAGTATTGTCTAGTCAATATCAAGTTCTTTTCAATTCAAGAGAGTTTTATGGACATTTCATATGGAAAGCATGAGGACCAAGGTCTGTGGCAGCCTTTCCCGGTCACCCAGTAGCTGGTCCTGGTTCCCAAAGAAGAGCTGACACGTCTCACAACTCCCCTGTGTGCAAGGGAAGACCTCAGCAGGGTCTTCTTTCTCAGTAATTCCTACTGAGACTCCAAAGAAGAGAAAATGGGGACAGATTTGTTAGGAGAAATGGAACAGGGCCCATGACTGGATCATGGTGGGGCTCTGGCAACCTGACGACACACCACACCATTTCTAAAAGATAGAGGCGATTTCCTGTCTTAGCTCTTCTGCTAAAGAGATTAAGTCTTATATAAATTTTATCTCAGTAGTCCAGTGGAATGAAATAATGACACAGTATAGCTCTTTCTGAATTATTCATTTCTTATTTGTAGATTATATCCAGGTTCCTGTTAATTCACTTAGTTCAGAATTGCAACACATGATATCATCTGTTTTATTTCCTTGTTTTCACATTGCAGACACCTAGTCAGTGTCTTCCAGTGCCTTCTTTGGTCATGACAGTCACATTTCAGAGAAGACTACCCTTCCCTGGTCTGCTCCAGACCTCCTGTTAATGCCAGGCAGTCCCCGGCCTGCCCTGGGCTTCCACCGGTTTTCAAGTCTTTGTATTGAATTATAGCTTGTTCTGGCATGATGCTGATTTTCTCCATTATTTCATGCTTCTCCCAGGAGATAGCCACGTTATTTATCCTTCATCCCCCTTTTGAAAATATCAGAGTAAAGAGTTCACTTATTTTTTTTAACCATCTTTTCTGCTAATTATTCAGTGCAACATACCTTAGAGGCTGTTCCCTCTCCTTCACTGATTTTCTTCATGCCTAATACCTACCTTGAATTTTTATTTTACAACCTTTGATATTTAATAATTCATGCCATCATGAAAGAGGCAGCTTTACTCTTACGACTGCTCAGGTTTCTATGGGTGTTGGCCCTGGGTCACAAGATGATGGCAGCATTAGAGAAACACTGAGTCGAGGCTGCACGTCTAAGCAGCAGACTTACCAGGGGAAGCGGTCCTGCTGGCTTATTTCTGCAGAGAAAGAAGCATAATCACAAACCTCATGTGATTATTTTAGAGAACCTCTATATGGCGTTGGTAGAGAAGAGAAATAAAATAGCCAGGTTCTAAGTTTCCCGTGTTATAAAGGGAAAGGACATACTCTACCTGTCTGTATTCTGCATCACAGTATATGGAGTCTGCAGCATAAAGTAGTGCATTAGTCAGTCAGCTCATCAATACCCATTGATTGCCATTTCATGAAAGACACTGCACCAGCCACTATTGGGGAAGCAGAGGATTCTGTTTAAGGCACATGCTTGTTTCCTGTAACTCAGCCTGAAGCACAGCACAGAGGAGGGTGTGGTTACACAAAGAAGCATTTGACTCTGCACACGTGGCACCCTAAATACACTGGGAATTAAGACACAAGTAGAAAAATGCATTTTGTAGTAGACTTTTAAGAACAAACTTTATTTTTCATTGAGCCTAGCATATGGTATCATTTTAAGGGAATAACTGATTTTAAAAGAAGAAAGCAAAGTAAGTCAATAATGATTGAGTGGTCACAGTATGGTGAATTAAATATAAGTTATGGACCTGGTTGATCTGTGATTCATCACAGGCCAGTAGTTAGAAGTGACCCAAGATTAATGAGCAGGATCACAGTGTTTAGGTGCTGATTTGTCTCCTTGCCCACGTGGTCCAGTGTGTCCCAGCAACATGTGCTCTTTCTTTTCAGCACATGCTCCTGGCTTTGAAGTTCATCCTTGCATTTGCCATACCTGATAAGCCACGGCATATCCAGATGAAACTGGCCAGATTGGAATTTGAATCTTTGGAGGCACTCAAGCAGCAGGTAAGGGCAGCTGTCCTGAAAATAAGAATGTATATCTTTAGCAAATGCCAGGAGACACAAATCAGAGAATTTATGCTCAGCACTTCCTGCAGCCTTGAAGTTAACCAGTTTATGTAAGTATAGAAGATTCCAGTTCATCTTCTTTAGTTTGTATTTGGATACAGTTGACGAAGAACGTTTCATTAGTTTCAGGTTCTCAGCAAAGTGATTCAGTTATGTACATGCATGTATCTGTTCCTTTTCAGATTCTTTAAGTTCTTACAGAATGCTGAGCACGCTTCCCTGCGCTACACAGTATAGGCCCTTGTTGGATTTGTATTTCAAATATAGTCCTGTGTATATTTCAGTCCCCAAACTCCCTGTTTACACCTGCCCCCGTACCTTTCCCCTTTGGGAACCATAAGCTTGTTTTCTGTGTCTGTGAGCCTGTTTCTTATTTTTACAAATAAGTTCACTTGTGTGTTTTGTTTTTTTTTTTAAGATTACATGTATAAGGGATACCACATGATATTTGTCTTTGTCTCGCTTACTTGACTCAGAATGATAATCTCCAGGTCAATCCATGTTGCTGTGAGTGGCATTATTTCATTCTTTTTAATGGCTAAGAAATATTCCATTGTGTATATGTACCTCAACTTCTTTATCCATTCATTTGTCGATGGATATCTAGGTTGCTTCCATTCCTAGCTATTGTGAGTAGTGCTACTATGAACACTGGGGTACATGTGTACCCATATACATGGGTATATGCCCAGCAGTGGGATTGTTGGGTCGTGTGGTGGTTTTATTCCTTGTTTTTTAAGGAATCTCCATACCATCTTCCATAGTGGCTGTATCAGTTTGCATGCCCGCCAACAGTGCAAGAGGGTTCCCTTTTCTCCACACCCTTTCCACCATTTATTGTTTGTAGATTTTTCGATGATGGCCATTCTGACCTGTGTGAGGTAATAACACCTCATTGTAGTTTTGACTTGCATTTCGAGAAATGTTGACACCTTTCCATGTGTTTATTAGATTAGCCATCTGTATGTCTTTGGAGAAATGTTTGTTTCAGTCTTCTGCCCACTTTTTGCTTCGATTGTTTGTCTTTCTGGTATTGAGCCGAATGAGCTGCTTGTATATTTTGGAGATTAATCCTTGGTCATTTGTTTCATTTGCTACTATTTTCTCTAATTCTGAGGGTTGGCTAATAATAATTGTAATGATCAGTCAGACCAGAAGAAAATTTAAATACTTATCTTGAGACTTCTGTTCATAGGAAATTTTAAAGTCTTCTTAAGTTTCCATTTTGAGCATAAAATTATTACAGCAAAGTATTAAAAAGCGATTGATAAAGACTTTCAAGCAAAAAAATATTTGATTAGGGTAAGATTCTTTGGAAGAAGTGGAAAGAAAATAGTACTTCAAAGAAGGAGAAAAAGAAAAACAAAATTTTCACTTATCATTAGGATTATATTTGTGTCTCTTGAATTGATAGTGGTGGATGTCACATCACTATAATGTTAAGCATTTCTTGGATATCTTTAAAAGAGTGACCTTAGAGTTTACTTTTAAAATGTCAATATTCACAGTATATTATAAAATATATTTTGTAGCTATCTTAATTTATGACGAAATATTAGATGTCAGCTTAAAATTGTATGGGAGGGCATTTGGCCTTCAAAACTTTTAGGAGTGATGTAAGCAGAAATTGTTTTAATTGAACAGCATTGTCTGTGGAAGAGTTTTGGTAAATCAGGTTTCTCCACTGATTCCATTTCTAGTGACGTTTTATAGACTGGGGTAGGCTCACTGTGTACACACCTTTCCTCCAGGTCAAGGAGGTCTCATTTCATGTTTGTTAAGCTTTCTTCTCCTCTCACTTAGGATTTCACCCTGCCGTGAATTTGTTCTAAAAAGCAAAGGGTCTTTCTCAATGCTGGAGATGACTAACACATCTCATGTTACTAAACATATTTACCTGAAAGTCCTACTTTAGATCTGTCATGTTTGCTTTGGAGGGATTGATGGATATTAGTGTTTACTACGGATGTGACTAAGTGATGTCCCCAGTCCTCTCGGCTCCTGGATTCACCTTCAGATACTCCCTAGCTGACAGTAAAGCAAAGTCCAAAGTCAAAGATGAGTTTGGTTTACACTCACTCTTCATTGAGAAGTGAAACATTAACCAAAAGTCTGTCTATTATTTAAAAAGATGAAAAAATCTAAGTGATTTTAAGTCTGTCTGAGGTCTTTTCTCCTGAGGACATAGACATGATTCTCTGATTAACATCCCCTTCTAAGAAAACGTGATTTTGGTGTTGATTTTACTGTTAAATTTCTGGTGGAACAGAGATATCCAGGCGGTGTTGACTCTGTGTGTGTGTGTGTGTGTGTGCACGTGCGTGTGAGTGTGCGCACATGCTCAGTTGTGTCCGACTCTTTGCAGTTCCATGGACTGTAGCCCTCCAGGTTCCTCTGTCCTTCGGGATCTTTCTGACCCAGGGATTGAACCCCCATCTCCTGCGTTGGCAGGTTGGATTCTTTACCCCTGAGCCACCTGGGAAGCCTGTTGACTCAGTATGTTTATCAAATGCCTCCATAGAGGGTGTTCTGACTTGCCCTGAAGGTGACAAAATCCATGCAGATGCAGCTCCAGTGTCTTGGATCCAAGTAGGGACGGAGCCATGTTGAGTACTCGTGGTTTCCTAGGGCCTTGACTGCAAACCCAGGAAAAGCATCCTTCCCCCCACCTCCCATGCCTGCTGGTTTTTGTTAAAATTATAATCTGAGACTAAAAACCGTCCAGAGTACAACCTGGGCAGAAGGTGCTCTCTTGTCTCTTTCCGGCCCAGGGCTTGGCTGTGTGGTTGACACCGCTGTCTGTGTCACCCACGCTCACGCTGCTGCCAGTGGAGACAAAGATTTTCATCATGTTTCCTCTTTCGTCTCACTGTGCACAGGTTCTGAACGATCATAGGTGTGGAAGGTCACCCATCCTGTGCTTTTCAAAAACTCTGATTCACTGGCATGTCTTTAGTTTACTTGCTCAACTAGTGTCATTTCTAGGATATAGAGTTTTTCTCTTTCTTTTTCACTCTGACATTTAACTGTGTTCTTTGTAAACAAGCAGAGCTTCACCTCGCTGGGCTGTTCCGTGGACTAAAGGCAGAGAAGAGGGCTTCTGCCACATCTTCTGGTCAGTTGGGCCCTGATCAGAAGTGGAGTTATGGAAAACATATTTAAGAATAAATCTCATTAATGCCTAGCCTGTCCCCAGACTTTGTCACTGTTAAGTGACCAGAAATTGACAACAGCTTGTCAGTAGGAAAGATTATTCATGAATAATTATTATATTGTGTTTAATTTATATTTGAATTGCTGCTTTTCAATTCCATTCCCATTTTATGGACAAAATGTGATTGAGAAATTTAAGTCATTGGACAGTTCTTTTTTTATATGTAATTTTATTTATTTTTGGCTGTGCTAGGAGGTTTCTTGCTGCACAGACTTTTCTCTAGTTGCGGAGAGCGGGGCCTACTCTAAGTGTAGAGCACGGGCTTCTCATCCCAGTGGCTTCTCTTGTTGTGGAGCACGGGCTCTAGGGTGCATGGGCTTCAGTAGCTGTGGCTCTCCAATTCTGGAGCACAGGCTTCATTGCTCTGCAGAATGTGGGGGTCTACACGGATCAGGGATCAAACCTGTGTCTCCTGCATTGGCAGAGGATTCTTTACCACTGAGCCACCAGGGAAACCCTGGAAAGTTCTTACATTGGGCTGTACATCTTGAAAGTAACACTTTAAAAAAATGCATGTGTTAGGAATTCCCTGGTGGTCCAGTGGTTAGGACTCCGAGCTTTCACTGCCTAGGCTTCAGCCCCTGGTAGGATAACTAAGATCCCGAAAGCTGTGTGTTGTGGCAAAAAAAAAAAAAAGCACATTTTTAGGCACCACACCATGAAGATTCTGTTCCCCTAAATCTAAGGTGGACCCAGATTACCAACATTTAAAAGACCCTTCCTATTGCTCCAGGAACCCTCTTCTCAACCCCGGCCCCCAGCAAACCTGGATCCCAAGTGCCGTCAGGTGAATGCCGAAAAGGAGCAAATTCTGACTCAGGTTCTGCCCCAGGAATAAGTCAGGTAGCATATTCACACCTCAGATTTTTGTTTTATAAAATAAAAGGCTGGACTCGTGGGCCAGAAACATGCATGTTTAAGCAAGCACCGAAGTGATTCCAGTGCAGGAGGAGTGGACCCACCAGGGGACCCACTGCGCCCTATGGACCTGGCTGTTCCTCCAGCTCGTGGGGCAGGGGCCGTGGGGAGTGGGGGCATGAGCGTGGAGAGGAAAGGTACCCAGAGCAGTTCTTTTCTTAGCATCAGATAGGAAACTGTGGCATTTCTAAATACATAAGCAAATGAGATATACTTGAAGGTGAGAGGCAAACTGGGGAAAATAAAATTGTTTGCTTTGCAAAGGGCATCTTGAAATGATTAGACTTCAGTCGGTGAGACCTTTACAGAGAATTCTAGACAGTAAATATCAGCCTAGTGATGCCCTTTTATTTCTTTTCAAATTGATGTATTCAACTCGCAGTAATTTTTAAGATCCAGTTAAAAATAGAAAGGAGTCTTATCCAGGTACCATTTCCTCCCTGGCTGGCCTGGAGCACAAGGACACAACATCCTCAGTATAGTCATCCTTCTGGGCAGACCGCCCTCTCAGGAGCCAAGCACCCACGGAAGCCTGGGAGCTGGTCCAGTGGAGCCCTGAGAAAGAGAACAGCCTCAGAAATCAGTTAAAAGAACAAATAAGGACTTGAAGAAGATGCCACAATGTGAATTATGGCCCTCCAGAGTTCTAACCAGATGTGAGACCTTGACTAGCAGGCCGTCTGGGCCAGCCTGCATTAAGTAACATTTTTGTTTTCTAGGGTTAAGTGTATTTCAACCATTTCTGACATTTCCCGGGAGCTTCTGAACTTTCCTTTCCCTGCCTATTTGTGCTCTCAAGGTATGG